ATCCTATCCATGCAACAGTTTTCTGTTCTCCTCTACTGTGATATTTACGGTTGTGTACGGCTGTGGACACAATGCAACACTAGCACACTACACAGCGGACAGTGTAGTATACAGTGTATTTACTTGAAGTAAAATATTACGTGAACCTGTGCATGATCATGATAAACGTTGCTAAGATGAGGGCTATTAACATAGTACTCACTGCGCACTAAAAAAGCAACCCCACACGCTCACAGCGTAGACACTGCAGAAGTAGTACGAGCAGTACGGTATTGCGACACAGCCGGTGTCCTCGGAGAACGGAAGAGACTTTCGTGCTCTCGGGGTGAGAAAATAAACACCAAATATTAGCAAAAAATGCATGATTTAATTCTCACACAGCGTTCGTGTCATCTCGTTCTTATTCGTAATCTATTATTATTGCATGATCTAATGTAAGGCGTGCCAATGCAATGTTCTGATTGAAGTGTTTTTATCAGTTTATTCGCCAGGTGTGCGCAAACACACGAGGAATTCGTTGTTGTGTTTTTTTCAGGTGCGTTCAGTGCTGCATATATTCCTCGGTTTCTTCATTCAGATCTCACGGTAACAAAGCGCTTAGGCGGTTTAATTAGCTTTCGGGTTCACTCGGTTCGGTGGCATACACACCCGTACACACGCTTCGGTCTCACTTCTGCTTTTATGTCTCTTTTAAGGGATTTTATTTTGGCTCCGCGCAAAAAAGGCTGAAGGAATCACGCGCTGATGCGGGAAATCCCGCAGGTCTGTGACGTCACGGCGAAACAATGTATCAATGTGTTTCCGACTCCGCGGTTTTCCCGGGAAATTGGGCTACTTTAACACCGTGGCCGCGGGTTGTTGAAGCGACCACGATAATGTGATATTTAGCCTCTGGAACCAGGGGAACCCCGCCTAAAACCTGTATTTTACGTGTATTTAGGCTGTTTCGAGTAGCAGTTTTGTTGTGAAAACCTGGCAACCCTGATCCCGCAGCTGATTTCACAATATCCTCATTACAGCGTTAAACAGTTGTGCTTTGCCAGTTTTGGCGTAAGTGTCATCGCTGTTCGGGAAACCGAAAGCTAAAGCGTTACGAAACGGATCAGCTGGGCTGCCATAGTATCAGATGGTACTATCTGAAAATATGCTATAGTACTATAGTACAACTACCGTGGTACATGTGCATTATGGTGTATTGCTGTTTGATTTGTGTTTCCAGAATCTGGTGATCCTCATGAATATGTAATGTATGCTAATGTGTTTCCAGGTGAATCTAGAGTCATCATGCAGAGTACTGCGAACTACCTGTGGATGATGTCTGACCTGCTGGGTCAGGGAGCCACAGCCAACGTTTACCGCGGTAGACACAAGGTATCCGTGAGTTACACCGTCTATACTTCATTTGCTTTGTGTTGTAAACCACAGCTACAGTGTCCCTACAGTCTGGCTCTCACACACATGATTCAGTGACAGTGAATCTTTCCAAAGATTCGTTTACATTTCACACAGTGATGTAGACCTTATAACGGGATTGAAAATCTCGCTGTGTGTCTGCAGAAAACCGGCGATCTCTATGCGGTCAAAGTGTTCAATAACCTGAGCTTCCTGCGTCCGCTGGATGTCCAGATGAGGGAGTTCGAGGTGCTGAAAAAACTCAACCACAAAAACATCGTGAAGCTCTTCGCCGTTGAGGAGGAGGTGAGACCCACGCAGTCTTAAAACCATCTTAGCAGCTCTTATGTCAAATGTAGCTTCCCCAAAAAAGACAATGTCCTCACTCTCAGCTCATCCGAGATGTAGATGAGTTTGTTTCTTCATCAGGTTTGGAGAAATGTAGCACTGCATCAGTGTCTCAGCAATGGATGCTCTGCAGTGAATGGGTGCCGTCAGAATGAGAGCTGATAAAAACATCACAATAATCCACAGCACTCCAGTCCATCAGTTAACATCTGGAGAAGACAAAAGCTGAAACACATCCAGCATTAAGAAGCTTTTAACTAAAATACATAGAGTCCGTAATCCATAATAACACTTCCTCCAGTGAGTCAGTGTTCTGGTCTGAATCAGGAGAGAAATCTGCACAGATCAAGCAGCGTTTAAACAGCTCTAAACACATATATAGCTGGATTTTGATGTGAGAGACAACTTTCCCACTGGAGGAAGAGTTATCCAAACTGGACTCATATTTTGGCCAGAAGTGATGGTTTGAAGTTTATACACCTTAATGATGGATTTGTTTCTTACAAACACAGCTTTTGGCTTCACAAGACATTAACTGGTGGACTGGAGTGGTGTGAATTACTTGTGGATTATTGTGATGTTTGGACTCTCATTCTGACGGCACCCATTCACTGCAGAGCATCCA